AGCCTTTTTCTCTTTTAGTTTCATTTAATTTTTAGAAATTTAATTTATGTATTTTTCCATTCTTAATCTACTTTTCTTTGAATTTTTAGATGTTATTGTTTTAAAAAGAGCACTTGTTTTTGATCTCATTTAATTTTCTTCCTTTTTAGTTAAATTTTAAGATTTTATTGTTTAAAAAAGAAAACTATTTTTTAACTTATTTTATTTATTTATTCTCTTTTAATTCAATTCCATTTTATTTTGTTAATTTCATTTCTTTTGATTTTCATATTGTTTTGTTTTAAAAAGAAACATAGAGCATAGAAACCATTAGATTTTTAGGATCCAAAATAATTTTTGCCTGTTCTAAATTGACTTTTTTAAATTTTATGTTTTAATTTAAAAATAAAAACTTTTGTTATCTTATTTAATTTCCAAGTACTACTTTTTTCTATTTTGATTTAGTTTTTTTATTTTTCTAATTTAATTTTTAGATTTTATTGTTTGAAAAAAAGAAAACATATTTTTTTTTTAAATCTCATTTACTTTATTTAATGATTTTTATTTGCTTTTGTTGCATTTTAGTTTTATTTTAGTTTCTTTTATATTTTATATATTTTTCGTGTTGAAGTAAATTTTCTAATTTTCATGAAAGGTTTGTACTTGTTTTATTTTAAGATACTAAAAATATTTGCAATTGAAGGCAAATACCTTCCAGCAAAAAGCTGAAGCAAAATATTGTTGTAATTTGCTGCAAAAAATTCAGAAAATCGTTCTTCTCTTTATGATTACAATATTCATAGAAACAGTTATTTGTGCCTCCTGTCAAGGGAAGAAATACCTTTAATTACATTATTGTATGTTATGAATTTTAGAATGTTAGAATTTAATATCGAATAAAATATTTGATATTGGCCAATTAGTATTTCGCTGGTCCTTTAACCACGCCTGCATGTGCGTACTCCATCAACCCATCATTAGAAGTCCAACCACTCATTTGACCCATTTAAGTTTCATGTACATAAATGGCAGCAATCACCGTTTGTCGTCCATATTAAAATAATGTTTACAAAGTATATCGCACACTAGAAGACCCGCCGCAGTTCAATTTGTGCGCGCGTCCTTTTCGTTTCGCTCCCCTCATCATCCAGCCAAGAGACGCGTTGGATAATGGGGAAACCAATAAAATTCCAATGTTTACCATAATACGACCAATAACTTCAATTGGCACAGCTGGTGGTAGTCCAACTGTTGCTATGTATAGCTGCAACACTTCAAATGGAATCAAAGTTGAGTGAGTGCCTTGTGAAGTGTCGGCAAAACTGTTGCAATACGAAAAATGGAAAAGTAGGCGCCCGACTTGTGCAATACTATTTATGTATGTACATATGTATGCACCAAACAAGTACTTATGTACTTGAAGTCGTTCAGGTGGAATTATGGTACATATTTNACCTTTAATTACATTATTGTATGTTATGAATTTTAGAATGTTAGAATTTAATATCGAATAAAATATTTGATATTGGCCAATTAGTATTTCCTTAGTTCTCTAACCACGCTTGCATGTGCGTACTCCATCAACCCATCATTAGAAGTCCAACCACTCATTTGACCCATTTAAGTTTCATGTACATAAATGGCAGCAATCACCGTTTGTCGTCCATATTAAAATAATGTTTACAAAGTATATCGCACACTAGAAGACCCGCCGCAGTTCAATTTGTGCGCGCGTCCTTTTCGTTTCGCTCCCCTCATCATCCAGCCAAGAGACGCGTTGGATAATGGGGAAACCAATAAAATTCCAATGTTTACCATAATACGACCAATAACTTCAATTGGCACAGCTGGTGGTAGTCCAACTGTTGCTATGTATAGCTGCAACACTTCAAATGGAATCAAAGTTGAGTGAGTGCCTTGTGAAGTGTCGGCAAAACTGTTGCAATACGAAAAATGGAAAAGTAGGCGCCCGACTTGTGCAATACTATTTATGTATGTACATATGTATGCACCAAACAAGTACTTATGTACTTGAAGTCGTTCAGGTGGAATTATGGTACATATTTGTAAATGCACTCAGCACTCCACTACGCCTGCATATGAATTCCTATATGTATGTTTGTACATCAGTACTTTTGTACTTTTTAATTAAATTTATGTACACATGTACATATGAGAAAAAGATGAGGAATGATCAAAAACTAACAAAAATAAAGTTTTTGTCAAACTTAAATCAACCGAAAAAAATATAAAAGCCATTTTGATCGCTCCACCCAGTACAAATTAATTTTTTTCTTCGAGTTTTTGAAACGACAGCTGAGATAGTGCGTTATTGAACCGACTTTTTACCAAATGAGCTGATCTTCGACTAAGGGGACTGGAATTATGGAAAGGGCGACATTTTGGACTACTATTTCAATAATCAATGTATTTGCAGGCTTGCAGAATGATATTAAAAACAGATAGACAGTTTTTAAAAATTAAAAAAAGAAATTTAATTCGTAATTAACTCATTTTACTTAACTTCGGTGTAAAAAAAAAATTCATAACTCAAATTATTGTAGAGAGCACCCCATAATACTATACTTAAATATTGCGCAATACTCAGAGCTGCAATTGCTATTGTTTACAATTTTTTTTTGAGATGGCATATTTTCAAAAAGTAATTATTTTTATCAAAAAATTTTTATGTGAAAAATTTTTCCTATAATATTTTTTGATATTTTTTTTCATAGAGAATTTTTGATGTGTGTATGTGTAATTTTTTATTTTTTTATTTTTTCTTCGTCCCGTTCTCGAGATATTTGGAAAACTATTAAATCGATTTGTGTTTGTGCTGTAAAGTTTTTAGAAATGTATTAACCAAGCTCAAGTTTNTTATCAGGGAGCTCACCCCCCCACCTACCTTCCCCTAAAGTTTGGCACGTTACTTATGGGACACCCTGTATATTTATTAGAAGTTGCAAGAATTTACAGAATTTTACCAGAAAACATTCCCATACGCGGTTCTTTGGCAAAGTAGGGCAAAAATGGGAGAGTAAAATCGGTCCTCTCTTTGTCGGAAGTTGCAAGATTTTACCCAAAGAATTTTTGCTGGAAAAATTTGGTAAACTGTCTAACCATCAGCGGTTTAAATGATTTCAAATTTGAATAAGCAAAAACAAAAGTGCATCTGCATTTTGACCTAATTAAATATATGCTTGCGAAGAAATATCAAGTTTTGTAAGTATTTTTGTTAATTTGCTGGAGTATTTGAGCAAAATTTGGAAGATCGCCAGATGATGAAAAAACTGCAAACTGTAAACCAAAAATAGCGTCCACTGCGTATTTGACGGTTTTACCAGTTTTTACCCGAAAAGCGTTCCTGTACTTTTTGGTTTTTCTCTCTTTCTCCGAGAGAAATTTTGCTTTTTGACAGTTTTACAGGTTTTATCCAGAAAATTTGAGGAACGAAACTTATTTTTATTCAACAACCCTAAAAATTTGAAAAAAATCAAGCACATGAACCCCGTCCATTTTGGTATGGAACGCCCCATATACATATAAGCCAATACCCTGGTCACTTTCTTACTGAGATATTAAAAAATTAATAAGAACGATATAAAAATGTATTGCGAATGGGGTTTTGCATCGTATAATGTATAACTATAATAAGATTTAAACGGTATTCCATTTCAAAATTTTTGAATTGTTTCTAAATGAGCTCTCAGCGGCTCAGAGGGAAAAATTCTATTAAGGTTATCTCGAAAACTGGAACCAATCTGGCAAAACGGGGTACGCCATTGAATTTAGAGGGCCTCAATTAATTATGTTCAACTATCAAAACCTTTAAACAAAAATAAAGTTGGAAATTTAAGCACAGTATAGTTTAAGTACTTAATAATTTTAATTTCTAATAAAATTTTTTATAATTATTAATTAAAAATTCTTTTATTTTCTTTGCTGACTTACAGTATTCTACCAAAAAAAAAAATACCAAATCAAAATATGGCTTTTCAACGCAGTTATAGCAAAGTGTGGTGGGGCTCCGACAACCAGCAACTACCCTCATCTTTATCAATATCCTCAGCGGCTGGCGGTGCTACATCCTTAACAAACAGTACTAGCTTTACAAGTGGCGGCTTCTACTACGGTTCACAGTTTTCCCAGAAGACACAGCAGCAATTGAATGCGCAGCGTTTCCAATACAATAACCACAGTGGCGGCTACCATTCGCTCGATTCGGGCAGCATTCGCTCGTATGTGGGGAATTTATCGCGCATACAGGAAGTCGACGATGAGCACAACAGCTCCAAGTTATCGTGGGGCAAACGTGATAGCCCCGGTAGTCTGCGCAGTCAGGTGAGTCAAATCACATTGTTATGTGCGGAATGATAACAAATCCAGTATTGTCTTGCCATTCAGTGCACAAATTTCTTGCTCAAAATTATGCAGATACATTGTTACTAAACACTGCTCACTTTATACCTTTCATTCACTTCGCAGGACTCTGGTTTCTCTGACAATGATGAATCGCATAGTGGTCGCAGCCTTGGTGGTCGTTCATCCAAACCTGCCTCGCCCAGCTCAAAGTCCACCGGCAGTGTAGTCGGTTCACCGAATTCCGTACGTTCGCTGACAGTGGAGACACCACCCACAGTTATTCGACGAGTTGGAAAGTCAGAATTCTATTCACCGTTGGTGAACGTATCCCGTCGCATATCATTTTCCGGTTCACCTGCCACAGCCGCAACACTGGATGCCGCCATTTCTGGCAGCGGTTTAAAAGCTGCAACGCAAGTTTCACCGAAACAGTTGACTGCCGCTGAATCGTTGATGAATGAGGCCGTGAGTGCTGCGAAGAAATTAAATTTTGATGATGCAAATACGTGTGGCGGACAAGCAGTTGCCGCCCCACAACAGGCGCAGCAGCAGCAGCCGAAACGTCGACGTCGCATTAGTCGCCAGTCAACAAAGCCATTGTCGCCCACAAAACGGCGCACTCTTCTGGAAGAGACTGACATTAGTGACCAAGAAGGCGGTGCTGGCAGTGATGTAACAAGCAATTCGTTTGATGAGCTTGACCGATCAGCAGAGCGTAATCGTTCACGTACTCGTTTGCACATTGTGCCAGCCTACAACAATGAAACGGTCTATTTAGGTGTGTCTTGTACATCTCCCACTACCAAGCCGTACAACAATGAAACTATGATATTGGGTGCCGGTGGTGAAATCACCAGTGCTTCCTATGAGAACACCAACAACAACACACTCAAATTAGATGAACTCGATAAGACAATGTCGCCGCTGAAAGTAGATGAGCAGCGTTACTTGGCTAGTACGAGTACGCCAAAAGCGTCACCAAGCGAACATGCGCGTTCGTGGATCCAAATGTCTCTCCGCCAGGTGGCACGGGAGTACACAACTCCGCTGCTGAACGGTCGTATGTGTGACCTGCAACGTTGGCTTTATGATTTGCGTTATTCATACGAGCAGGAAGTAATGTCAACGCTACAAACCAAGTCTATTGCACAGGAAGCTTTCAAGAATTTGACAATTACCACAAACACAGTGGCCAAGCTGATACGCCAGCTGCAACAGCGCGCGCTCTGCATGCAATCAGATTTCGAGCGCGTCGAACGCATACTATCAGGGGCGCAAGAAGCCACACTACATGAAGCGCTCTCCAGCGCCGAGCAGCTTGTTGCGAATGTGGCGGAGTTTACGCAGGTACTCGAACGACGCGCGGTTTTCTTCAATGACTCGCGCGTTGATCGCAAGCGCTATGAGGAAAATATCGAGCAGATACGCATAATCACCAAAGATACGCGATACTCGCTCGAACGTCAGCACTACATCAATTTGGAATCGCTATTGGATGATGTGCAAGTGCTTAAGCGCTATTTGCTGATCAGTGTGCGGCAAGTGTTCGAGAAGATGGTGCGCATCATAGTGCAGAGCGTGGAGCAGGGTCAGTGTGATCTTATGCTGCGCGCCAACATTAATATGATAGCCACCTTGATGAATATCGACTACGAGGGTTTCGCTTCACTCACAGATGCCTTTGTGCAGAACGAAGCTGTACGCGCTCTGCTCATCGTTTGTCTGGAGAATAAATTATCTTCGGTGCGCGCGCTAGCCTTACGTGCGTTGGCTACAATTTGTTGCTCACCGGCGGCTATTGCGCAGTTAGGCGCCTGCGGTGGCATAGAGATCGTGCGCGATACCGTGCAAGTGCCGGGCAGAGAACGGTCAGGTGAATTGAGACGCGGCGATTTAGAGCGACGTGAAGCTGTTTCGCTGTTAACACAAATCACCGCAGCCTGGCATGGCCCTGAACATCGAGTTGACGGTTTAAAGGCATGCGCAGAGATTATTGTCGAGGGACTGACACAGTTGATCATGAGCACCGACTGTGCGCAGACGCTGTTGCTATGCGCGGCAGCGTTGAATAATCTCAGTCGCATTGAGGCGACATCGCACTACTCGATAATGTCGAATGAGGCGATATTTAAGCTGATAGCAGTGGTGCAGGGACGAGGGGAGGAGACATCAATATTTTTATATGTAAGTTGCACAAGATTTTTAGAACTTTGTATATAAATACGGGGATTCAGTCATGAGTCAAAACTAGCTTCTTATAGGTGTAAAAACAAAGTATTCTTCTTAAAAAAAAAAAATGTATTTATGTTAGCGGTTTTTGATTCGGGCATATCTAAAAGGTTCAAAATGCAGTTTGAAATCAGTTCGAGATCCCTTCTTATTTGACACAACAAAATTTGACCGAAGTCTTAAAACTGGGGACCAAAATGTAACTGGGTTGGCAACATGTAACAGGCGGTTGGTCTGTACGAATACGAATTCAGTTACAACGCGAATACAATATCGATAACGATAGCTAACAAATCTGCGAATATTTATGCCGAAAGTAATATGGGTGACGAGAGATATCGCTAAAATGTGTCATTGAATATTAAAAAAGTTGGTGTCAAAAGAATGTCAAAAACTAATTTAATAATTACTCGATTAAAATCGATTATCATAACGGTACGAGCATATTATTACATACGTACATTTATCGATAACAGAGCTGTAAAAATTTCGATAATTATTTCGACAAACACATCGAAGAAAAAATATATCGATAACGATTTGAAAAAAAAAATTAAAAAAATGTTGATACAATTTTAAAAAATTGCAGAAAGTCAATAACAATTTGAAACATTTCAAAAAAATCGATAACAATTTGAAAAATTTCAAAAAAAAGTTGATAAAAATTCGAAAACGTATTCCAAAAATAATAACGTTGAAGTTTTAGCAATCTTCTTCCAAGGCAGGCTTGTAGTCACAACCGATGCATGTCTGCACGGAACTGTTGCGTCGAAGTGTTGCAGAGTCACTAGGTGAACAGGGTCTCGCCGCAGGATGTTGTTCACTTACCTCTCCCTTGCGAAGCGTCAAGGACCTGCTAGAAAAGCTACTGAGTAGAGGTTGCTGAGTGGTTGCCTATGTGGACGTACTTGTAGTTTAGAGAGAGTAAATTTCTTGATACCCTTTATGATCTCACTCAAGGGCAATTTGACCTGGTAACGAAGACAGAAGGCCACAAAAGCCTGAAGTGGGTACAGTGGACCTTCATAACAAGCAGTGAATATCTTCAAACCAATCGCATTCTGGTACTTAACGGCATGCTTGAATAGTGACAATCGAGATCGTATGTAAGGCACTTTACTTAGTTTAGCTCGAGTATCCTTGGTGCCTTCGACTTTATCCCTCAAAATAGGACTACTGCGAGGCTAAGACTGGAGTGGACGGGAGGCATAACCGGTAGAAGGCATCGGTAAACTTTTAATGGATGAACGTAATTTGACAAAAGTGCCAGTGGAGGGTTTTTGCTGGAAGCTTTCTGGCAGCCTAAAACTTAATACGTGTAGAGGGGTTCCTGGCGCGCTTTGCGAATTAGCGACTGAGGAAGCATAAAGAGTGGAGACCTTCAAGAGCATAGGGGATTTTCAAATCATTTCTTAGCGATCCCATCATCAAGTTCACCGGGAAAATGCTACCGAAGTTATCATCTCGTAAGGGTCTACGCAAGCTCCCTTCTCGACAAATTTGGTTTAGGTAAATAAAAAAGGAAAAGGCTTTAAAATTTTAATAAAAATATTAACTTTTTTATACCGATTGACGTTTTTAAAAATTCAATATGGTGCTAATTTTTAAAAAATTTATTAAATTTGCTAGTCGGCAGTTTTTTAAATTTCAAAATGGAACCAAACATGGCGGATAATTTTTCAAACTTTCTCAGATACCTCGGGAACTTGTCACTCGAGGGTTTTAGGGGTCGCCAATTTTGATAATTAACACTGGACACAATGAATTTTTTAAAATTAGCGCTATATTGGATCCGCCATTTTGAATCGTGAAAAACACCACTCGGCATTAAAAAGTACTTTATTATTAAAATTTTAAGACTTTAAGATTTGGCGAGAAGAGGGCTTCCTTTGAAAAGTAATGCCCCTTTTGTACATCAAGGCTTACGATGAAATGCAAAACTATACTAAACCAATCAAGTATGCAGAACAGGGTCAGGCTTTGATGGCTACAGTGATATGAGGGTTTTGTTACCAACGAAAGAGCTGACGCTCTCGTAAAATGTGGTAGCCATTACAGCCGGACTGAACATCCCTCAGTAGTATATCAAAAGGATACACACTAGGGCTGCTAAGTATGTAAGTAGGAGGATTCTCAGGCTACAGCACAGTAACGAATGACAAAGGTAGAACAGCAGTCTAGGAAATTTAAAATTTCCTCTAGAGAACACTCACAGTCACATGACAGGGCACTGCAAGTTTAGATAACACCTTGGAAAGAATGGACTTTCTACAGCTGCGAACTGCAAATGCTGTATGCTGCCGGATGAATTCCTGGAGGAGATATTCACATATCTTAGGTCAAAGAACGTACACTTCGGCGAGCGATTATGGTCTTCATCGAGAGTCTGCAAATGTCAACTTCAGCACAACACCGCTCCTCTGTGTGTATGTAGAAGTACACTTAATCAGAGCTGAGTATACAATTTCGTTTATTAAATTTCTACTAAGGATGATGCTAACTTTAATTACAAGTACGGTCCACTTAAAATATACTTTCCATTACAAACTTCTTCTTGTCCAGCACTTCCTTTGTAGAATGCATGAAAAAGGTTAAATTTTGCGCTATTCATCAAGTTCTAAAGTGGTCAGCATATTAAGCCCATCACTCTTTTTGTGCAAAACAAATTTTTTCTTGTCCTTAATGGGGAAAAAATATCCAGATGTTTGTCATCACTATACGAAAACTTTTCCCATTTCAAGTGACGCACTTCAACACGGAATTCAACAGGACATGTCGTCATGCATTAGTATTAGGCAATAGAATATAAACAAGCATGTGTATGTATGTACATATATGCATGTAAATAAATAAAAATGAGCATGCATGTCTTTGAAATCAATTTCCTATTAGAATGTCTGTAAATGCAGAGAAGCCACTTCGTCCATTTAGGCTGAGCACAGCGACAAATGTGTACGAAATGTGAATGAAAGCGAAGCGGATGATGATGATGATGAAAATAAAAGCAATTTAAATGAGAAATATGTAGCAAGGAGAAAAAAATTTGAAAATCGTAGCTCGCATGACCGAATCGACTAAGCCGACCGGGGGGCATTGAACTGATGAATGAACTACTGAGCTGATTGAGAACCTACGTATATACATACATACCTACGTACTACTACGTGTATATGCCGCATAGGCCGCTGAATTACTGTGTAGACGGCAGGCGGCAGGCGGTAGGGGAGCCAAGCACATAAATCACTTGTCAGTCGCTACTAAAAATGCAATTTCTAATTTTATTGAAAGCTTTTCAAATAACATTTTCTCAAACTGTATATTAAAGTGGCTATTGGGCGAAGAAAACAACCGCAATCAGTGTTGCCATTTTAGCCGTTTTCCGGCTAGATTTAGCCGGTTGCGATAGCAAACAGCCGGAGAAATTTCGATTTAGCCGGCAGCCGATTTGTTAGCCGTTTTGCAGAAAAAAATTAGCCGGTTTTAGCCGATTTTGCTATTTGCCTTGTTTTCTTAAATTTCAAATATGTATATATGTTTCTATTTTTGACTAAGCGACCCAAAATCTGTTAGAAATGGCTACTACCCTTATCGTGGAGAAAATTTTCATGTTATGCAGGGTTGTATGAAATATATATGTCTTAATTTTAAAGGTGAAGTTTTATTCGCAAACTTAGAAAGAAAGAAATTGTTTCACTGTTAAGACACTTAAGATGCGTTTGTGTTTGGATATAGTGCCAACAAAGAGAATAAATATTACATGTAGATATTTTCTTCCCAGATAGCGCATATTCAACTCTGCCTAAGTTACAAAACATCATTTTTTTCCACTCCCAAAGGTTTAAGGTAACGGAAAAATTGATATTTTCAAGCACCATGTACACATATGTATTTTTTTTTAACAAACTTTTTTGCTGAGAACTTATTTAAATTCCAAAAAAAGAATGCCAACTTGAATTAAAGGAACCAACATTGAAGTGAGTCAAAATTAAAATATAAGAGCACACATTTCTATGTAAAGCAAAACTCTCTGGGAATCCTACGAGACATTTGCCGGTCATATGACCGGTCATCTAAATGGGAGATCTGCAGTCTTTTGGCATCATATTTTGCATCAGAATTCTTTTGTGTAACTGTGATTTTGCATCCCTTGTCAATATATGGCCTCGGTTGATGTTAACTTAAGGTCGTTGTTTTACTGCCTTAAAATTGAATGGAAATTTTCACAGCGTTGTTTATGTGTATTGGTTTCTATTTGAGTGTATTGAGAATCGGTCAGTCTGAAAAGGCCTCGTAGGGAAGACAATAGGTTTGTTCGTCGAAAATCCAGCGAGAATTATCACTCAAAATATCACATAGTACGAACGCAAATTGGCAAGATTTTCTGCCAGCTAGTGTCTACGGTTGCATTTCAAACAAAAGAAATTTGTATAGAATTTTTAAAATTCTTTCAGAGGGGTAAAAAAACAGGATCTACGTGTATATATCTTGTCAGTCCGACATTCTTCAACATATGTTTCAATTTCTTTGTCGGACTTACTATATCGAGTCTGGTTGAGATTGCATTCCGATTAAGAATACAGTTTTTTTTTGGCGAGTACCTTTCAAATCTTTGGAATTGACTAAATTAATTAAGTAAACAAGTATTAACTTACATTTTTCATTTTAAAATCGCTCTAGTTTGTAAATTTTTAAATTTAACGAGCTTGTTTATTCAAATTATCGTCGACAAAAAATCCAACCATGTGCCACAATCATATGTTTTTCCTAATTGCAAATTTTTGCTGGCAAAATTTTTTCCGGCTCGAATTTGTAACTTCTCTCCCAGAAATAGTACTCGTGATTTATTTAAATAAAACATGTGAAATTTAGTTGAAACATTTTATTTGCCAATTTAGCCGGTTCGTCCAAAAAGTTCTGGCAACACTGACCGCAATGTTAACAAGCCACAATAACATTGACAAATACAATCGCAAATATAGTTGAAGCAGAAAGAGAGAGAGGGAGAGAGGGAGAGGCAGGCAAAAGGCAATCGAAATGAGCTGCTGTGCGCGCGTGTCAGGCCTCCAAACGACAAAATGCTTAAGCATGGCGTAGGCGTTGAAACGCTGTTTGACGGCGCGGCTGGGAAAGTAAGCAGTTTGTTGAGGACGGCCATTCTTCCGGCTGCCAAGTCTGGCATGAGTTCATAAAATTTATATCCGCATTTGTAAGGCAATTTTTCTTGAATCTTTAGTTTGCTTTGCGCCTAAAACGGATAGTCAACTTTTCTTAAGCTTCCTTATCACTTAGCACATTACCTTATACAAGTATACCCATTCTCATTTTGATTTATATTTTTTTTTAACTATTTTTCAGGAGCAAATCGTTGCGATGTTACACAATATGTCAGTGAACAAGAAGTGCCACAGTCACTTGGCCAATGGCAGCATCATAAATTTCATCACGTCCGCATACCAAACGGAGTTCTACAAAAGCTACAATTCGCGCGCAGAGAGCGACGCACAGCGGCGCACCATCAAAGCTATTCTGCATACGTTGACACATTTGGTGCACGAGTCCAGTCTGGGCATTGAACTGTTGGAGCAGCATCGCGGTGTGCCTGCCTTCTTCCGGCAGGCAATGCTCATCGGTGGCGGCGGTGGTGGTAGCGCAGGTGGCGAACACTGGTCTTTGGATGGCAGCCACAGCAGAGATATTTCGTTTTTGGCACGCCAATTGCTGCAGGCCCAAAGACAGGAGCAGGCCAATATAACTGGGATGTCAACGACGACGCTGGTTAGAGATAAGGAGATTAGCAACGCTGACGCTGAGTCTACTGTGGTTAGTACGAGTGCCACTGCTGGCGATGGTGGTGGTGCTGTGCGAGGTCGTGTTGGCAGCGGCAACAGCAGCGCAGGCAATTTTAAATTCAATTTGACGCGACAGGAGAGTTTCGTCTGAGTGGCTGCATGCAACAGAGTTGTCGCAGTTTGGTGCGCGCTAAGGCGCTTTAGGCTGTTGTGGCACCGAATTATTCTATTTGCCGGCTATACTGGGTTGCCGGCTAGAGGGCACACATACATATAACTTGTATATATTATCGAGGCAATCGTGCGCGTAGCATCGATTTGGTGTCGTAAAGGTTGGAGCAGCTGCTGGTAACGTACGTACGTACATAGTTGTAGTGGTGACAATTAGCACGTGACGGCATCGAGAGCTGCATTCAAAAAACGAATTGAAAATTACAATTGAAAAGCTGCTGGGTTTGGAAGATTTTCGTACTTTATTTTGGGTGGCTTTGCCATTTTTGCTATGTAAAAATGTGTGCAAAGCCTATTATTTGTAATAAAAAACATATATGTATTTTAAATAATTTATGTTTATAGGTACATATGTACATGTATACGTATATATAAGTATATTAGGGCGCATCATTTTTTTTACTATGCCGTATACCATAGTACGATTCTACGTGTATTTCTAAGCAAATTTTCACGTTGCGGCCTCTGGTGGAAATTTTAAGAAAAACGTAACTGCAGAAATGGACTCCTCAAACCAAAAAAGCCTTTTTTTTAGGATTTTTTTGATAAAAAATTTAAACACTTCTTTACCACACTACAGCAAAATGCTAAGAAACCTATTTCCGCAATTTGGCAAACTCCAATTTGTTATACGCGCATAGTCGAAAAAATCTCTCCTACAAAAAAACCGACCTAATATAGGTATATGCATGCACATACATATGTACGCGTTAAAGAATTCTGCATAGTTTTAAAAATTATGTTATGACATTCGGTAATAAAAAACTTAAAAAAAAATTATATAAATTAAACATTTTAGGGTGGTCCTTAACATAACAACACCCAGATCTTTTTCGTGAACGCCGTTTTTCCTTTCTAAAATAAAGACAGCCACGGAAATTTTAAAACTTAAGAAAAAATTGGGTTAGAAAAATTTTTAATTTGTTTAAAAATTGCAAAGATCGAAAAAAATTTTGACTTGAGATCTGATAAATTTGACATATTGTTGCAACTTATTGATAAATATTCATAACCGCGTTGAATTATAGCTGGTGAAAGTCAACATTTTGTCGATTTTTTGTGATTAAAAAAAAAATGAATTTTATTATTTATGATGTTTATTTTAAGGATCACCCTAGTCTAAGTGTGTAAAGAATCATGTCAGCATTAAGTGACAAAAGTTCAAAATTTAACATAGTCAGTTGTGTGCCAAAAATGTGTTTAAATAAAAATAAGTTTAAAGTCGAAAGTGACATTCAAATACATATATATTTGTACGAGTTTGTGTTTGTATATTGCTACAATGCTGTTCTTGATTATAAATTATGTAAATATGTATTACTAAAAATGTAGTATTTTTTCTGTTTTGAATAAAATTTTTTTAGTTTGTACATAAATATTCCCAGGCATAAAAACTTATATACATAAACCTATGTTGCATAATGTTACTAAAAATCCACGATTTTATTGATATAATGAAGAGTTACTTATACCTTTTTTTATAATTTTTATACATGTTTGAAGGAAAAAAATAAAATATAAAAATAATGCAAACCNTTTTTTCTGTTTTGAATAAAATTTTTTTAGTTTGTACATAAATATTCCCATGCATAAAAACTTATATACATAAACCTATGTTGCATAATGTTACTAAAAATCCACGATTTATTGATATAATGAAGAGTTACTTATACTTTTTTTTTATAATTTTTATACATGTTTGAAGGACAAAAATAAAATATGAAAATAATACAAACCAAAGCTATTAGTCACTCTGAGTATTTTTTCTTATTGACAATTGCGCGAATAAATCAAGTAAGTGAACATTTAAATTTATTGCATAGTTGCGTAAAGTTAGGCTTCAGGAAAATTTAAAAAATTTATTTCATACATAACTTGGTTTTTTTTTGAGTCGAAAACCTACGTGCATACATACTTTCTGTATAACTTTTTTTTGATTAATCAATTAACATTTGGTGCGTAATAGTAATATTTCTCTTTTAATAATAAAGTATTGCTAGGTTTGACACCAATCCGCTGTTATGGTGACCTAGATAACAAACAATTTTCCTGCTAATAATAATTTTCTCCGACCTGCTCGCCATTGACGGCACAACCCTAAAAAGCTGCAGAAATTTAAAAAAAGGTTTGATTTCAGAATACTTTCACCATATTTTATCATGTTGGTATCATGTATGGGCCCTTTAAGGCGATTGGTTCAAGGAAGTCCTCTAACCGTTTGCATTCGTTTGAATCGTTTCGTCGATTTGAAAGTTTTTTTTTTTTAAATAGGAATGTTTCCAAATTACCTTTATACCCTTATTATATGCACATATTGCACTTACATAATGTACATACATACATACATACCAATGCATAAACCTCGCACAAATAAAAATTCCATTAGTGCTTCACATACAGACATACAAACATACACCGCAGCCGCAGCCAAATCAGCAGGCAAGAAAATCTAAATTTATTTTCAATATCTGCAAATCTTCATTCTTTCAACCCACATTGGATTTATGCTCAACTCTTTTATTCAACCCATTAATCTAGAGCGTTGTTGCCGCCATTTTCAAATTACATACACACATACACACGTACACACATACATAGACTATGCCAGACTCCTCCGCACATACGATTTGTGGAGGCTGAATTGAAATATTTACTCTCGAATTTGTTTTGCACATCAGGTTAGTAAAAATTTCAATAGAAAATTTATCTGTTCCACACATGAAACACACTGTTTGTGTGTGCGTGTGTGTGTGTACATTAGGGTGCTTTTTTTTTCCGACTATCTTTTTTTTCGGTCCCATCGTGAAATTTTGTTGGAAATACCCAAAAAAAAATTCCCTGAAAGTTTGAGCCCTTAATATTAATTTTAAGTACTCGGCCAAGGCGTGTGAAGATTTTCCATTTAAAATACACGGGAACTTTGATTTTTTTTTTTAAATTTCTATAGCTCATCGGCATTTAATGGTATCACCTTGTCCAAAATGGGGATTTTCTCAGCATTAAATGCTCTACAAAAGTGCCCACTGCGGCGAAGTCGTAACTCACACCGGCGAGGTAGTACGGGCCACTAAACCTGATTTTTTCATGAAATTTACGTTTTTTCGCATTTATCTCGTAAATGACAAGAGCTATAGAAAAAATGTAAATGAGAAACTTCTCTCAAAATTGATATTTACAATAAGTTTTAGACAAAAAATAAGAATATTATATATTTTCGGAAAATGGGCGTAGCCACGCCCACTTATGGTTACATGTGTATATCCTGGTAACCGCTGCACCAATTTCTTCCAAACCTGGCACAGTTGTTGGCCTTCGCACAACATACAAAATGGCCGACAATTTTTAAAATCGGACAATAACCACGCCCACATCCCATATAACGGTAATTTAGAGTAATACAAAATCTTCGATAAATCAGTAAATATTAAAGCAAATTTATTCAAAAGTTTGTACCAAACTCGGTATGGTTATTGTGCTTGCCACATAAAAGAAAAACGTTGAAAATAATTGTAATCGGACTAAAACTGAGGCCGCTTTTCATATAACGGTAAATTTCAGAAATGCTTGAAACTTCAATATTTCGAAATTTAAGGACNCTAATTTACTCAAAATTGATACACCCCGGCTTACCATGTAGCGGTAGCTTTCCGAAAGGTGAAAAACATATATTTAATACGTGGGCCGGGTATTTAATGTTCGGCTCCGCCCGAACTTAGACTTTCTTACTTGTTTAATTATTATCTTGAAATATGCTACTTCCGACTTCTGCCGCTGTATCGCTGCCTACATGCACACGAACGTAGCAATGCTTTGATCGATATGAAATATGACGAAAGCGAATAAATGAAAAAATTTTTTATTCTCTTATGTCCCGCTGAGACGCTGCCTATCGAAATGAAAAAAAAATCTTTCGACGCAAATATGTATTTCGAAAATGGTTTAATGAATCTTAAATCTGAAAAATGTGTGCAAAGTTTCAGATCTAACACTTCAAGTTATTGTCTCTGTGCGATCTGTAGATCGCTGGGAATAAGCGCCTTATTTCAGAATAATATATGTGTAGATGTTATTCTAGTTTCCTTTATATTCTTTTTTATCTTTATACTCTATCGATAACAAAATCGAGAGTAACATCCAACAAAATATTGATAACAAAACCGATAAAAACCCGATGAAAATATCGATAACAAAATCGTAAAAAAAATCGATAACAATTTCGATAAGTAATCGATAACAAAATCGTTAACAAAATTGATAAATTATCGATAAAAAAATCGACAAACAATCACTAACAAAATCGATAACAAATTCGACAAAAATATCGAAAACAAAAATATCGATAAAAAATCGATAAATAATAACTGACAAAATCGATAACATAATCGATAAAGATACGATACAAATAATCGATAACAAAATCGATAAAAAATTTAGATAAATAATCGATAACAACAAAAATATTGATAACGAAACCGATAAAAATATCGACTTTATATCGAAAATGTCCGATAATCCCGAAAATCTCTAAAATTGCAAAATAGTTCCCAGGTTGAGTCCCTGTGTCTCTATCTATATCCTTTATCTATAATTATCTTTACTTTAATCTTTCTTCCTCTATCTTCATCTTTGCCTTTATCTTTATACTCATCCTCCTCTTCCGTTGTACCGTTTAAGTTGCATCATTTCCGTTGCACCATTTCCGCTTGCGATTTCCGTTGAATTTGCCAATTTACTTCCAACCTACCAACCGCCGCTAAAGAAGTTTCACTTCAAAAATTTCTAATTAAGATGTTGCTTCGACAGAGAATCAGAAACAAGACCTATGGAGTGGTAATACGCACCTGTGCCCATTCAGCCACAGCGGCCGTCAGAAGCTTAAGTTAAGTTGTGTAAATTATCATTCCTTGTTCAAAATCACTGCCTGCTTTTTTTAAATGATATTGATTGAGACAAAAATTTGTAATTAATAGTTTGTCTGATTCTTTGGTCAGTATCGCGAGCAGTGTGTTTGCCCGAAACTCCTGAAGGTAAGGTCAGGCTAGGTTTGGTTAGGTTTAGATGACGTGTATGTTCAGGTATCACGTTCCTCGATATCTCTGCCTATAAGGTGAAAAAGCGAGATCACAAGTGTTTGAGTCGCCTTATCTGGAAAGCTGGACATTGACAAGGAAATAGTGAATCGCTTCCTCCTCTTCTTCACTTAGAAGAATTTTCCAGCCTCGATTCCATCGGATCCCTAATTTTTAGCAAGAAATTTGCCTGGAGTTGATATTTTTACCCCATAACTTTTCGTAACTTTCTACATGATTTCTAATAGTTTATTTAAAACCAAGAGACACGAGAGGCGATAGCATTCTTCCTTGCGTAGTCCCCCATGTTGTTTTCTTGATCATGTCTTGTGAGCCTACAAGCTACGTTAATAACTCTGCACTATGAGCGTTGAGTCAAAACATGCTACTATATTGCTGGATGCCATGTTTTTTTACGTCCAATGAGCTATCTGAGACCACTCAATGGAGAGCGTGCCGACGGATGCTGTCTTTCCAGGAGGCAGCTTTTGCTATGTGGATTCTGTGGGTTCAAGGGAGAGCCCTTATA